GGATTGGACCTCAGACAACTCCCGATCTCAAAAAACGGGAGTTCTGGGGCTGGAAAACACCCATTGAACCAGAAAACTGATCCATGTGGGACCCAGAGCAGGAAATCCAGGGAAAGCTTGGAGCTCTCCAAGATGAACTCCAAGATGGGGGTGATATTTGAGGTCCCTTCCAACCCAAACCATTCCAGGATTCCAGGATTCCCAGCTGCCCTGCAGACTCCAGCTCAGCTCAGACAGGGATGGGCGGCTCCAGCCCCAAATCCCTGGATGTGGGACATTCCCAGAGCCAGGCTGGGGGTGCTCCTGACACCCCCACACCTCTTCCAGCACCTCCTACATCCCGGTGGGATACACCTGGATCTGGAAGAACCAGAGTGAGTGATTCCACCTGGGCTCCAGGGAAGGGTCAGAAAATTCCCTGCGGGATTTGTGCCCCATATTCCCCAATGCTTGGGAAAGCCTCAAACTTTCCCTGGAGTTCTTGCTCAGGATCCCAGGACCTGGATAAGGCAGGAATTCCCATCTTAGAGAGCCTCAAACTTTCCCTGGAGTTCTTGCTCAGGATCCCAGGACTGGGATAAGGCAGGAATCCCCTTCTTGGAGAACCTCAAACCAAAGGCACAATGCATATTCCTAAAGCATCGGATCTGCTCCCACAGGGACACAAGGAATTCCAGTTGGATTTTTGGGATGTGCAGGAGCACATTCCCTGTTTCCCAAGCAGAGGAGCCCCAGGGATGGCCCAGCTGAACCAGGACTGAGCTCGAGCCCAGAACCCCCAGGAACCAGTTCCCGTGCCGGGAACCAGGAAAGCAAAGGGATCCTTGGGGCTGCTCCAACATGGAATCTCCTCCTGCAGTTCAGGATCCCCTTTTTCTTTCCCCAGGTGTGAATTCCTGCTCTTCCATGAGCCCATTCCCATGTCAGGCGTCTGTTTCTAAACCAAACTCCTGCCCAGAGCTCCATCCTCAGCATTCCCGGCTGAGTTTATTGGATTGACTTTTCCTGCCCAACTGCCTTGGAGACACTTCCTGCCTCCTCCTGGGGAATTCTGGAGCAACACTGACCCCTGGCTATTCATTGGAGCTGTTCCCCCAACTCCAGCTGCCCTTTGAGGAGCTCATTCCCTGCCCAGATCCAATAAAACCATGGGATCATGTTATCAGTCAGATCCAGCATCAACCCAACGGATGGCTCCAAATCCCAGAGCAGCTCAGGGATCTGCCCTGGGGGAGGTGGGATCTGTCTTTCCCAGGGGGAAGGGAAGGACCCAGCCCAGTTTGATAGATTCAATTACTGGGCACAATTAAACAGTTTTCCTCCTCCACCTGCAGGATTCTGTGGGAATTTCACAGGAGTGATCCCATTTTTCCTCCTCCCTCAGGCTGAACTCCGCAGGGTCTGAGCTCTGCTCAGCTCCAGGGCAGGGACAGCAGAGGGAAACATGGAATGGATGAGGTTGGAAAAGCCCTCTGAGATAATCAAGTCCAACCATCAACCCACCCCCACCACTAAAACTGTCCCCAGGGGCCACATCCACAGGGATTTTAAATCCCCCCGGGGCTGGGGACTCCAAACCCCCCTGGGCAGCCCCTTCCCGTGCTTTACAGCCCTTTCCAGGCAGGAATTTCCCCAATATCCAACCTGACCCTCCCTGGCTCAGCCTGAGGCCGTTTCCTGTCCCTTGTTCCCTGGAAGCAGAGCCCGAAACCACCCCCCCCCCGCCCCCCCCCCCCTGTCAGGGAATTCCAGAGGGAGAAGGTTCCCCCTGAGCCGTCTTTTCTCAGGCTGAGCCCCCCCAGCTCCCTCAGGACTTCTCCAGCCCCTTCCCAGCTCCCTTCCCATCCCTGGACTCTCCAGGGACCCCTTTGGCACCAGCTGCTCGTTCCCATATCCCACATCCCAGTCCTGGGTTATCCCAGCCCTGCCCGTGCCAAGGGCATTCCCAGCTCCAGGCCCACATTCCCAGCTCCAGCAGGGCCGGCGGCTCGGCCCTGCTTTGGCTCCCGATGGGTTTCCCTGTCCCTGGAATTCTCCAGGAGGTGTTTGGGGTGAGTTTGGGGCTGCCCTGGGATGGCCTTGGATTCTCCCGAGGGTTTTGTGGCTGGAGCAGGATCTGCCCATGGATTGAGCCCAGGGAGCCTTTCCTGGCACATCCTGGAATTCTCTGCTCCCAGGGAATATCCCACAGAGCTGGAGGAGTCTCCAGACATGATTATTGTTGAACACAAAGTGCTTTTTGTGCCATTGTTGGAAGCTTCTAGATTAGGAGAAAACCTCAGGGCATTGGGGAATTCTGGTCAGGATTCCCATGAATTCAACATCTATTTCTGGATTTCCTTTGGAAGAGGATGATGATGATAATAATAATAATAATGATGATGGTAATAATCATAAATATATATATAAAATAAAATTTATAAAATAAGTATGATACAATGAATAAAATGTAAATAAATATAAAATATTAACATATAAAATAATTTTTAATTACTATTACTATTATTCCTCACAGACAAACCAGCCCACACTTCACCTGACACAGTAACTTGTCTTTCCCTATTTTTTTAGGGCTTTTCCACCAGGCCAAGCTGCCCCTGCACTCCCCATTTCAGGCCTGAGCTGTGGCAGGGCTGACACCCCAAGCTCTCCCTCTCCCTCTGCTCTTCCCCAGCTCCTTTATCCCGTAATCTCTGCACTGAAATCCAAGTTCTTGGGCCTGATCCCATCACCAAATACAATAATGGATCAATCTGGGCCCTCTCCTGCTGCTCTGGGACAATCCAGTGTCACACATTCCCAACACATCCCCTGCACACCCCTGAGGATCCAGAGTTCCTCCATGGAACAGCTCCTGCCTGCAGTGCTCCCTGACCCCTCACCCTGGGGTTGAGCCAACTCCTCCTGCTCCAGCGGCACAGAAGGGAAAGGAGAGCTCCAACAGACCAGCCCCGACCAGCGGGAATCACCCAGCGGGAGAACAATCCCGGGGTTTGCCAGGACAAGGAACAATCCCGGGGTTTGC